ATAGTCCAAGCATTCTGTCACGGATTAATGTTAAATTTGCAGAAATTATTACCTGGACAAAAAAAATATGACCGTATAGAAAATTAAATTTTAAATTGAGTTTCTTGTTCTTTAAACTCGATCCAAAATGGCGAACAAGGTTAAAAAAAATCGCAAAGTTGCAAAAAACTGTTTTTCTAAAATAACTAAAAAAATATAGCACCGATTGAAATATTTTATATGAGAAAGTTGTAGGTTTTAAAAAGATCTATCGACTGATTTTTTGTAAGTATCGATTGATTTGTTATTTTTCGAGATATATCGAAAAAACCGTTAAAAATCTTCTCTTTTCTCTTCTTCCATAACTCGTTTACATTTACGTTCCCATAATTGCTATTTACTGCAAGCATTGCCCGCGGCAAGCCAAAAAAGTACATTTTTGAACAATTTAAAAATATTAATTATTTTCCGAGATATATAGATTTTTTTAAAAAAAGGGGCTCTCGAAAATAGGCTAGATGTTCTCAGCGGATTGTCCTACAGTAACGATTTTCGGTTTATTTTCTTCGTAAAGGGTTATATTATCATGCTGTTAAAAAATGTTGACGATTTTATAAATTTTAAGGATAAAAAAATTACTGAAAAGTTGCACTTTTTTGAGTATGTTTCAAATAACTATTTCAATTTTTATTTTATGAAAATGACTTTTAAAGAAAGACACTGCTGACATTTTTTCACGAATTAAAAAAAAATGTTTTTCTACGACCTTCTGGAGCCGAGATAATTTTTGTATTTAAAAAAAAAATTGAGGACGCAATTAACATTTTACAGCGATGCTCTTGATGGAGGTTAATATTGAATATTTATATTTTCAAAAAAAAAATAATAGGATATGTTTACTTGATTTTTAGTATTAGTAATTGAGTAATAAACTGAAGCGTGCAAGCGCTGAGTGTGTCAGCTGGACCGGACGGAGAAGTAGGGGGAAGCGGCGCGCGCTCGCTCTGAAAACTGATGACGTGCAGTCTAAAGGGCTCCCGCTTGCAAAATCTTTGATACCTCGGCTTCTGGACCACGTACAAACATTATTTTGTACTTAATCCGGGGTAGCTAAACACGAATATTATAGTCATTTTCGCCTTAGAAGCGAAACAGTCCCGTAAATGTTTAGTTTTTATTTAATTTACATATTTTTGCATTTATCGTCATTTTAATAATTAATAATATTACAGTATTTTTCGTGTAATACCTTAATTTTTTGCTTCATTAATCATACTGACGTACTTGTTGCTGGCTTTTTAACAATTACTTCATCATTTCAATAATTAATTCATTTTGGTGTAAAATAAGTTTAAAGAATTTAATTTATTTACAAAAATATTTAATAATTATACAACTAAGTATGTATAAAATATCTATAAAATTATTACAATGAAAACTAAAATTATTTATCGAATGAAATTCTTCTTTTCATTGTCGGATTGTTTTTTGATTAATTTTCTTGTTCGTCTTCCATATTTTCGTGAAAAAAAATGTAAGTTAAATAAAAGCTATACATTTACGGGAGTATTTTGCTTCTAATGCGAAAATGACTATAATATTCGTGTTTAGCCACTGCAGATTAAGCGCAAAAGAATTTTTGTACGTGGTCCAGAAGTCGAGATATCAAAGATTTTGCAAGCACGAGCCGTTTAGATTGCACGTCATCAGTTTTCAGAGCGAGCGCGCGCCGCTTCCCCCTACTTCTCCGTCCGGTCCAACTGACGCACTCAGCGCTTGCACGCTTCAGTTTATTACTCAATTACTAATACTAAAAATCAAGTAAACATATCCTATTTTTTTTGAAAATATAAGTATTCAATATTAACCTCCATCAGGCGCATAGCTGAAAAATGTTAATTGCGTCCTTAAAATTTTTTTTTAAGTAAAAAAATTATCTCGGCTCCCGAAGGTCGTAGAAAAACATTTTTTTTTAAAATTCGTGAAAAAATGTCAGCAGTTTCTTTCTTTAAAAGTCATTTTCATAAAATAAAAATTGAAATAGTTATTTGAAAAAAACATACCCAAAAAAAGTGCAACTTTTTCAGTCATTTTTTGATCCTTAAAATTAATAAAATCGTCAACATTTTTTAACAGCATGATAATATAACTCTTTACGAAGAAAATAAACCGAAAATCGTTACTGTAGGGCTATCCGCTGAGAAGATCTAGCCAATTTTCGAGAGCGCCTTTTTTTCAAAAAATCGATATATCTCGAAAAATAATTAATATTTTTAAATTTTTCAAAAATGTACTTTTTTGGCTTGCCGCGGGCTATGCTTGCAGTAAATAGCAAATATGGGCACGTAAATGTAAACGAGTTATAGAAGAAGAGAAAAGAGAAGATTTTTAACGGTTTTTTCGATATATCTCGAAAAGTAACAAAGCAATCGATACTTTCAAAAAATCAGTCGATAGATCTTTTTAAAACCTACAACTTTCTCATTTAAAATTTTTCAATCGGTGCTATATTTTTTTAGTTATTTTAGACCCCATGACAATTAAAAATTGCAGGTTTCTAACTCTTACAGTTTAGACGCTATCTAGCTTTACTTATAGAGCTGAAATCGTGATTTTTTTCAAAAACAACTAATTATCTCGAAAACGTTAAGTTTTAAACACCATGTACATTTAATAAACTCTACCTAATATTAAACAAGAAATTCAAATATGCAATAATATACAGGGTGTTCCATTTAAAATAACAAAGTTATGCAGCGCGTCATGGGGTTTCGTAAATAACGAAGTTTATCTAACACCACCAAATAACTGCATTAAATAATATTCCACACATCATTAAATTAAATTCAGTTAGAAGTGTCATTCGAAGATGCGAATTATGTATCGAAAGAAACGGGCAACGGTTTGAACAGTACTTTTAAATTTCACTATTCCCATTTTTTTCTCAAAAATTTCGTTATGCAAAGGCATTCAAATTTCATATGGTCGAAATGAAAATAAAAAATCTATCGAAACATGCAAAAACATTTATACAATCCCATTTAAAAAAAATATCGGTGACGTCACTACTCATCTACAGTGTGACGAAAAAAAAAATACTTTACAGGATGTTCAAAAATTTGTAACCGAGTTATAGCTCGGGGCCTTTATAATTAAACAGACTGTATACTCATGTGTTTAAGGTTAAACATTATTTACCTGGCAAAATGAACTTTGACCACTCGGGGGAAGTATCCCATAAGCAAGACCTTCTCCCTTTGTGGCACGGTGTCTGGATACACCAAAGTGACGTCGTAGACGGCGTCCAGGTTGTTTTTCAACAGCAACTGATGAGCCAGGAAGGTGAAGCCCTTGGTCCTAGGGTGGAGCACGTAGTCGTACTTCTAAAAATCAAATTCTTCCTAAGAACGGCCCCGGTGTTGTGCCTTGAGGCACCCCAATAACGAACCGGCCTTACCTGGATGTTATTTCTTGCAGCGAAGTCGTCGCTGTTCTTCTTGGTGTCCTCTGTGAAGTCTGTGCCTTCGGGGAACACCAGAAGGCTGTGCTTGTAGGATATGTCGGCCACGTAGTCGACGTACCGCTGGAGGATCTCCTTGTCCAGCAACCAGCACCTTTTTATGTAAACGAAGCAAGCCAACTGCATCACCCACCCTGAAATTTATCGGAGATAGAAGCAGAATCGTTTTGGTGTACCGCAAGGGTCCGTTTCGAGGCCCGTACTTCATGCTAGGGGGGTGTTTGTACAAACCTGGTCCGGGAATGTGCCTGATGACGTCCTTAAGGACGAATTTGGTGGAATGGGACAGCTTGCCCTTCCCGACAACGCTGTGGTACAAGGTGGGCCAGAAAAAATTCCAGTCCGTCCTCGTTCTGTGGTTCATGATTAAGATGGAGGTCTCCCCGGTCTGGACGGGGTCGCCGGATACCTGGATGTCGCAGCCGCAGAGTATTTCCAGCATGGCCTGAAAGTTTGGTCGTGGTTATAGGTGAAGGGTTTTTGGAACGATTTTTACTCACCGTGGGATAGTACTGCCAGTAGGTGAAGAGGATGTCGGTGATGTAGCGGTAAAGTTTGTTGGAAATGAACATGACAGGCAACAGAGGACAAAATAAGGATGCATACCCTAAAAAAAAAAAAAGAGGAAACTAGTTGGTTAAATAAACTGTAAACTGTATTTCAAACCAGAATCTACTGCACATGTTTCTACGTGACAAATAGTTTTACAGTACAGGCGCTGTTAATACGAAGTCCAACAGGGAAAGAAATTTTGAGTAGCAGAATATACAGGGTGTTTCAGAAAGACCTTCCGTAAATACGGGGGGTGATAGTACGACAAAAAATAAGAAATTTTTGTCTTATGAACTATACGTCTATCTCCTCTTGTTTTCGAGATACAGAGCGACAAAATAAAATTTTTTAAATAGAATTTTTACGAAAATTTCCAAACGGTGCGAAATATTTTTATGAAATTTGGTATTCCGGGGTTTTTAAGGATGCCAAATACGCTGGTCTAATTATTTTTTGGATATTTCATAGAGAGCGCTAGTTATGCTACATTCCTATTACATTTTAAGTTCTAATTTTTTTAAGGTTAGGTTTTTTACCATTCGGGCTCCAATTTCTAATGTACAATTTTATTTTCCAAAAATAATGTTTTCTTGTTAGAACTTCCTAATGTGGACGGTTTTCGAGAAAAAAGGCTTGAACCCTTACAATATTACGGTGTATAAAATAAGTGACTTTTCTCAAAGTAGGCTTATGTCAAAACTTATTGACGGATGTCTCATAAACAACGCATACATTCTTAGTAACATTTTAAACTCTAATTAATTTTATACCAAAATTTTAGTGATTGTTAGTGACTGTAGTTAGTAATGACTAATTACAGTCACTAAAATTTTGATATAAGGTTAATTAGAGTTTAAAATATTACTAAGAATGTATACGTTGTCTATGAGACATCCATCAATATGTTTTGACATAAGCCTACTTTGAGAAAAGTCACTTATTGTAAGAGTTCAATTAAAAGCCTTTTTTCTCGAAAACCGTCCACATTAGGAAGTTCTAACAAGAAAACATTATTTTTGAAAAATAAAATTGTACATTAGAAATTGGAGCCCGAATGGTAAAAAACCTAACCTCAAAAAAATTAGAATCAGCGTATTTGACATCCTTAAAAAACCCGGAATACCAAATTTCATAAAAATATTTCGCACCGTTTGGAAATTTTCGTAAAAATTCTATTTAAAAAATTTTATTTTGTCGCTCTGTATCTCGAAAACTAGAGGAGATAGGACATATAGTTCACAGAACAAAAAATTGTTATTTTTTATCGTACTGTCACACCCTGTATTTATGGTAGGTCTTTCTGAAACAGCCTGTATAATTTTCTTTGTTAAAAAACGTTAAATCAATGGGGCCGATTCTAGCAATATTTTTTCAACTGTGATAATTTTTTTCCTTAGAATCTCCGTAAGTTTTACACGCAAAAGAAGAGTTTACAGAGAACAGCTAGAATATACACTACTGTGTATACTTCGAAATACAGTGTGTCCAATTAAGTCCGCACCATATGGGATACTTTTTTATTATTGGTTTTATGAAAAAAAGTTGTTCTTGATAAAAAGTTCTGTATGGCCTAAAACCCAAAATGAAGTAACGAGCGTTCAAATAAAAACGTGGTCAAGTTGGTTCTGAAAATTTGGACGTAGGGCGTAGCGTATAGCAAATGAACTTAAACGTCATCTGTCAAAGCGCTATATCGCCGTTATAAATGGTGTTTTCTCAAGAACAAAAAGTGTTTATCATAGAGTCCTACTTTAGAAATGGACGCAAGATTGATGGAATATGGAAGTATTCTATTGAGGAATGTTTCATAGAATTTCAAAATCAATTTCCCGGCGTTGTTGAGTACAAAATTTTTCAAAGTGCAGTTCAGCGTTGTGTTAATGTTTTTCGTGAAACGGGCAGTGTAACAAGAAAAGAAGGAAGCGGCCGACCTAAAAAGCGGACTGAAGAATTAAAAGAAAATGTCCAACAAATAATGGAAAATGCGCCAAGAACTTCTGTACGTTTCATCACAAATGGTGGGAGTATCATTCGGTATCTGCCACACAGTGTTAAAAAAAGATTTGCGTTTGTTCTCCTTTAATTGTTTGTTATTGTTATAACGATTATTCTTTAAAATAAAGTTATATAGTCATTAACGTTATTGAAACTGACATCTGCTATACGGCTCGTTGAGAAATGAGGTTAAGTTGGTCGTTATAAGCTATTCCCTACGTCCAATGTGTCAGAGCCAACTTCGACCACGTTTTTATTTGAACGCTCGTTATTTAGATTTAATTTTTTTGCAGTTGTGTACGAGGTTTGTCGAAAAATGTAAATAAAGTATAAATAAAGTACCTTTATTTTTTACAATATCGACGATCGTCATTAAGAAAAGTTTATCTTAACAGAAATCTACGGTCAATTGTCCAATATTATCCATCTATCACTAAAAACAATCTTCAATAATTTTTGGGTATAAACAGTAGGAAGTAAACAAATAAATTATAATTTAATTTTGCAAATCATAAAACATTTCTTGTATTGAATTTATCGGTTTGTCAGTGCATCCTATATTTAATGTCGATCTCTAGACGTAACTATCATTGCTAAAACAGAGAAGAGTGTAAAAATAACAAAATCTGTTTTATTACAAAAATTTTTTTTTGTAATGGTAGATAGATAATATTGGATATTTGACCGTAGTTTTCTATTAGGATCAACTTTTCTTAATAGCGATTGTTGATATTGTAAAAAATAAAGGTACTTTACTCTTGCAAAGCAAAATTAACATTTTTCGACAATCCGCATATACGACTGCAAAAAATTAAAATCTGATTACTTCATTTTGGGTTTAGGCCATGCATAACTTTTTATCAAGAACAACTTTTTTTCATAAAACCAATAATAAAAAAGTATCCCATACGGTGCCGATGTAATTGAACACACTGTATTTCGAAATATACGCGGTAGTGTATATTCTAACAATGTCGCGCAATAGGTATTGCTAAAGAATCTGTAAATACATACGACTAAGTACTTCCAACTCCTCGAAGTACTTAGAAATATATACAGTGTGTCCCCGAATAGGGTACCACATTCCTGAGAACTTTTTTATTGTTGATTTTGTGAGAAAAAGTTATTCCCTCTTAAAATTATAATTTTTGAAAAAAACTAAATTGCAAATTGATAAATGTAATCTAATTGTTTAAAAATAAAAAAGAAGAGTGTTAACTTTAAAAATTTACTGTGGTCGTCCTAATCAACCGATTTCAATTTTTCAAAAACCATTTGAAAGGTTGAGCGGTCTTTTCCAAGTGAAAAAATTTTCAAGTATCTTTATTTGAGGGTATTCATTTTGAAAATTAGAAAATTTATTTTGCGAAAACTATCGAATTGATTTTAATAAAAATTGGTATGTTGTTTTATTATATTCTAAAATTTTTTTTAATTAGAATTCCCTCGGAGCAATTAAAATATTTTAAAAAAAATATCCAAAAACTTGATTATTTTGCCTTTTTTTTCATCAATTATTGCTAATTTGCAACATAAGTAATAATTTTAAACATTTTTAACTTAGGGGTCATCCATAAATTACGTCACACGTAAATGGGGAGGGAGGGTATCACCGAAATGTGACAATGTGTGACAAGGGGCAGGGGGGGTCAAAAGTTTTGTGACGTCACATGTTAAAATTTAAAATACTAAAACGCGAAATTTAGATGTGAATAAAAAACTATAAAAATCTACGAACTTGATCTATATTTATTAATAATTTAGCATTCTCGAAAATGAAGTGCCTGATTTACCAGTAATAGCTATATGAAAGAGTGGGTCCAAAATCCATCGACACTAGATAATTAAGTTTTTTATCTATAATTAACATAATTAGTCGTTTATTGTTTTTTAACTAGTCGTTTGTTTTTTCGGTTATCTGAAATATTTGACTGTTGATTTTATTAGGATTATTTAATAAAAAAAGTAAAAAATGAAAATAGCTGTTTTCTCTCGATTATTTTTAAATACATGCCTAAATTTAAAAAATATGTGACGTCACATCAGGAGGGGGGGATTATAAAAATGTAACAACCTGTGACAAGGACGGGGGTTCAAAAGTCCTAAAATTCGTATGTCTGGGATGGCATAACGCATCATAAAATAATTGGTCCTTACTTTTTGGAAGAGGATCTTAATCAAAATTGGTAGCTATTTTTATATTATATTATATTTAAAAAAAGTTTACTTACTTTTTACAATTTCTGTCTGCTTTAAGTAAGATAGTTAAACTTTCTTGACTAAACCCCGTATTTAAGCATTTCTTGAGTTCTAACACAACTTTGTTAAATACAATGAAAATAAAAATTAAAGGCAGTGTACTTGGGGACAATTTCACACTTTGAAATTTTTTGGACGCCCTCTGTGTTATATTACTGCCCATGTCTTCCCAAGATAAGCATCACTTTTTATTAAAAATAATTTTTTCTCGAAAAAACCAACAATGAAAGAGTCCCCATCTGGGAGACAACAACAATAATACAATTAATTATAGTGATTTCACCGAAAATACTGTACTTATCAAGCGACTGGGTGCCCTGGCAATCTACCTTCGACACCTGTCGCCGCCAGTCTCGCGAACCTCACCTGCCAGGATGCTGGAAAACCACAGAAAACAATACAGCCACCCTATCCCGGCGGCCATGGCTCAAATCAACATACGAAACCCGGAAACAATGGAAAAAACAATCGAAACTAACGCTCACATGTTCCCGCACGGCCGACTACATGCTTTTCGTGCTCGCGATTTACCCGGCAAAGCTATTTATCCGGGTTCCTATTGATTTTCCACCCTCAGCCTCCCTGCTGGACCAGGAGGGGGATGAAGCGGCCCATTCCCGTCCTTCCCCTCGGCCGGGCGGGTCCTGCGAAGGATACAGCTCGTTTCAGGGCAGTACGGCTTGGATGTACAGTGCGTTAGGAGTTTGACTGCCATTTCTTCAAAGTTGTTTGAAAAAAAAACATTTTTTTTGTCGACCAAGTAACTTTTTAGGTAAATACGCTTGTTCCGATTTCAGGAAATTGTGGTAGCTCGATGTACGCGCAATATTGTGACACCCTGTGTATTGCCGCTTGTTAAAATTATGGCTGTCAAACTTCTAATACGCCGTACAGTTTAAATCATAATAATCCAACCAAATTACACTTAGAGAAAAAAAAATTGTTACCTGGACTTTTATAAGTGGAAATGGTAAAGGGGCTTATAATAAACGTAAAAAAAATTATTGCGTGAGCAGGGGCGGCGGAGGGTTCATTTGGGGGGTTGAAGAGGGGTGAAAAATGGTATCATTGAGATTTCTGGCGAAAGTTNCATACTTACCTCTTCGCGCTTGTGGAAGTGTAAGATTCCCACCTGCCGCTACCAAACACGGAACCCTGCTCTCATGGCTCGCGTTAGTGGAGGAAAACCAAAATTATGATCAGGAGGAGGTACTTGAAGCACATAATATCGGTGATGGCCATCATGTGCATGTTGAGGAACATTTGTGTGAAGCCTCGAGGAACCTTTCACGAATAGAGCCGTGTAACTGAATGTACGGATATATCAACCCTATCGCTCATGCAGAGCTTCCGGGGAAGCCTTAGATGTTGTATCCTTATTGAATTAATCCGGAATGCGATCTTGTTAAGCAAGTGGCGTATCGATTGACACGAGAGTTACGGTATATGCACAAAAGTCGGGAAAATACTACGAGAAAACTTTAAAATTCTTCGAAATGTTTCAAAAACTTCGATAAACTTAGGATTCCACCAAAAATAGATAAATGTTGTCTATTTTGAGGTTTTTAAAATTATTTTGAAGTTTTCGAGATATATATTTTGGAGATCTTCGAAATTTTTGACGTATTTCGAAGTATTTCCTCGCTTTTTCGAAGTACTTCGACATATTTCGTCAATTTTAGAAGTATTCGAAGTCCTCAAAATATGTATTTCGAAGAACTACGAACATTTCGAGATAGTTCAAGGTATTTCCAGATTTCTTCCGATGTGTTCCGATGCAATTTCGGTTTTTTTTATGTACGACAATTAATATTGGGAGACATTTGTGGTATTTTGAAGTTTTCAAGATGTGTATTTCGAAGGAAGTTTTCGAGGTAGTTTGAAGTATTTTCAGATTTCAATATTTTGATGTACTTTGGGGTTTTGAGTGTTCCAAGTATTTAGAGTTTTATAAGTACATATCTACTGTAAAACATTTAAAAATATTCGAAGTTTTCAGGTTATGTAGTTCGAAGTATTTCCAGTTTTTTTTCGATATATTTTTAAGCACTTCGATTTGGCGAAGATTTTTAAGGATTTCGATGCATTTAGAGATATTCGAAGTTTTCAAGGTATGTATTTTGAACTACTTCGAAGTTTTCGAGATACTTCGAAGTATTTTCGAATTTTTTCCGATGTATTACGATGTCATTCCAAGTTTTTTTATGTACAACAATAAGTATTTCCAGATTTCATTCGATATATTTTAAAGTACTTTGAGATTTTTATATTTTGAAGTATTTCGGGGTTTTGAGTGTTTTAAGTGTTTAGAAGTTTTATAAATATCTACTGTAAAACATTTAAAAATACTCGAAGTTTTCAGGTTATGTAGTTCGAAGTATTTCCAGTTTTCGAAGTTTTCGAGATGCTTCGAAGTATTTCCGGATTTTTTCTTATTACGATGTAATTCCAGGTTTTTTATGTACTACAATAAGTATTGCGAGACATTTGTGTATATTGAAGTTTTCAAGATGAATATTTCGAAGGAAGTTTTCGAAGTGGTTCGAAGTATTTCCAGATTTCATTCGATATATTTGAAGTACTTTGAGGTTTTTATATTTTGAAGTACCTCGGGGTTTTGAGTGTTTTAAATATTTAGAAGTTTTATAAGTACTGTAAGACATTTTAAAGTATTCGAAGTTTTCAGGTTATTATTTCGAAGTATTTCCAGTTGTTTTCGATATATTTCTAAGCACTTTGTCGTATTTAGACGTTTTTTAAGGAGTTCGATGCATTTACAGATATTCGAAGTTTTCAAGGTATGCATTTCGAAGTTTTCGAGATATGTACTTCCAAATACTAGTTCTAAGTACCGTCGCCCCTGCTCACGCATTTATTTTTTTTACGTTTATTATAAGCCCCTTTACCATTTCCACTTATAAAAATCCAGGTAACAATTTTTTTTTACTCCTATAAATGAGTTATTTCGATCGGTCTATAAGTAAAATAATTAAAAACGAATGAAATAAGTAGTTTTAAAATCTCGTACTTTCATACTTACGTCTTCGCGCTTGTGGAAGTGTAAGATTCCCACCGGCCGCTACCAAACACCGAACCCTGCGCTCATGGCTCGCGTTAGTGGAGGAAAACCAAAATTAAGATCAGGAGGAGGTACTTGAAGCACATAATATCGGTGATGGCCATCATGTGCATGTTGAGGAACATTTGTGTGAAGCCTCGAGGAACCTTTCACGAATAGAGCCGTGTAACTGAATGTACGGATATATCAACCCTATCGCTCATGCAGAGCTTCCGGGGAAGCCTTAAATGTTGTATCCTTATTGAATTAATCCGGAATGCGATCTTGTTAAGCAAGTGGCGTATCGATTGACACGAGAGTTACGGTATATGCACAAAAGTCGGGAAAATACTACGAGAAAACTTTAAAATTCTTCGAAATGTTTCAAAAACTTCGATAAACTTAGGATTCCACCAAAAATAGATAAATGTTGTCTATTTTGAGGTTTTTAAAATTATTTTGAAGTTTTCGAGATATATATTTTGGAGATCTTCGAAATTTTTGACGTATTTCGAAGTATTTCCTCGCTTTTTCGAAGTACTTCGACATATTTCGTCAATTTTAGAAGTATTCGAAGTCCTCAAAATATGTATTTCGAAGAACTACGAACATTTCGAGATAGTTCAAGGTATTTCCAGATTTCTTCCGATGTGTTCCGATGCAATTTCGGTTTTTTTTATGTACGACAATTAATATTGGGAGACATTTGTGGTATTTTGAAGTTTTCAAGATGTGTATTTCGAAGGAAGTTTTCGAGGTAGTTTGAAGTATTTTCAGATTTCAATATTTTGATGTACTTTGGGGTTTTGAGTGTTCCAAGTATTTAGAGTTTTATAAGTACATATCTACTGTAAAACATTTAAAAATATTCGAAGTTTTCAGGTTATGTAGTTCGAAGTATTTCCAGTTTTTTTTCGATATATTTTTAAGCACTTCGATTTGGCGAAGATTTTTAAGGATTTCGATGCATTTAGAGATATTCGAAGTTTTCAAGGTATGTATTTTGAACTACTTCGAAGTTTTCGAGATACTTCGAAGTATTTTCGAATTTTTTCCGATGTATTACGATGTCATTCCAAGTTTTTTTATGTACAACAATAAGTATTTCCAGATTTCATTCGATATATTTTAAAGTACTTTGAGATTTTTATATTTTGAAGTATTTCGGGGTTTTGAGTGTTTTAAGTGTTTAGAAGTTTTATAAATATCTACTGTAAAACATTTAAAAATACTCGAAGTTTTCAGGTTATGTAGTTCGAAGTATTTCCAGTTTTCGAAGTTTTCGAGATGCTTCGAAGTATTTCCGGATTTTTTCTTATTACGATGTAATTCCAGGTTTTTTATGTACTACAATAAGTATTGCGAGACATTTGTGTATATTGAAGTTTTCAAGATGAATATTTCGAAGGAAGTTTTCGAAGTGGTTCGAAGTATTTCCAGATTTCATTCGATATATTTGAAGTACTTTGAGGTTTTTATATTTTGAAGTACCTCGGGGTTTTGAGTGTTTTAAATATTTAGAAGTTTTATAAGTACTGTAAGACATTTTAAAGTATTCGAAGTTTTCAGGTTATTATTTCGAAGTATTTCCAGTTGTTTTCGATATATTTCTAAGCACTTTGTCGTATTTAGACGTTTTTTAAGGAGTTCGATGCATTTACAGATATTCGANCGGAATGCGATCTTGTTAAGCAAGTGGCGTATCGATTGACACGCGAGTTACGGTATATGCACTAAAGTCGGGAAAATACTACGAGAAAACTTTAAAATTCTTCGAAATGTTTCAAAAACTTCGATATACTTAGGATTCCACCAAAAATAGATAATTGTTGTGTCTCGAAGTTTTCAAGACGTGTATTTCGAAGATCCTCGAAATTTTCGACGTACTTCGAAGTATTTCCTCGCTTTTTTCAAAGTACTTCGACATATTTCGTCGACTTAGAATTATTCCCCAAATTATATATTTGGAAGTACTTCGAAGATTCCAAGATACTTCGAAGTATTTCCAGATATTTTTCGATGTATTCCGATGTAATTCCAGGTTTTTTTTATGTACAACAATAAGTATTGCGAGACGTTTGGGGTACTTTGAAGTTTTCAAGATGTGTATTTCGAAGAAAGTTTTCGAAGCAATTCGAAGTACTTTTAGATTCTAGATTTTTAGATTTTAAATTCGGTATATTTTGAAGTATGTACTTTGAAGTTTTTATATTTTGAAGTGCTGCGGCATTTTCAGTGTTTCAGTCTTTAGAAGTAGGTACTGTGAGACATTTGAAATTATTCGAAGTTAGGTTATGTATTTCGAAGTATTTTCAGATTTTTTTCGATATATTTCTAAGCACTTTGTCGTATTTAGAAATTTTTTAAGGATTTCGATGCATTTACAGATATTCAAAAATTTCAAGGTATGTATTTCGAAGTACATACTTCGAAGTTTTCAAGATACTTCGAAGTATTTCCGGATTTTTTCTAATGTATTACGATGTAATTCCAGGTTTTTTATGTACAACAATAAGTATTGCGAGACATTTGGGGTATTTTGAAGTTTCCAAGATGTGTATTTCGAAGGAAGTTTTCGAAGTAGTTCAAAGTATTTTAAGATTTCATTCGATATATTATGAAGTACTTTGAAATTTATATTTTGATGTACTTCAAGTATTTATAAGTTTTATAAGTACCTACTGTGAAACATTTTAAAATATTCGATGTTCTCAGGATATGTATTTTGAAGTATTTCCTGTTTTTTCGATATATTTCTAGGCACTTTGTCGTATTTAGAAGTTTTTTAAGAAGTTCGATGCATTTACAGATATTCGAAGTTTTCAAGGTATGTATTTCGAACTACTTCGAAGTTTTCGAAATACTTCGATGTATTTCGGATTTTTTCGAATGTATTACTATGTAATTCCAAGTTTGTTTATGTACAACAATAAGTATCGTGAGACATTTGGAAGTTTTCAAGATATGTATTTCGAGTACTTGGTTCGAAGTATTTTCAGATTTCATTTTGATGTACCTCGGGGTTTTGAGTGTAGAAGTTTTTTAAGTACTGTAATACATTTTAAAGTATTCGAAGTATTCAGGTTATGTATTTCGAAGTATTTCCAGTTTTTATCTATATATTTCTAAGCACTTTGTCGTATTTAGAAGTTTTTTTAAGGATTTCGATGCATCTACAGATATTCGAGGTTTTCAAGGTATGTTTTTCGAAATATTTCGAAGTTTCCGAGATATGTACTTCCAAGTATATCCGAATTTTTTGCAATGTACTACGATGTAATTCCAAATTCTTTATGTAACAATAAGTATTGCGAGACATTTGGGGTATTTTGAAGTTTTCAAGATGTGTATTTCGAAAGAAGTTTTGGAAGTACTTGGTTCGAAGTATTTTCAGATTTCATTCGATATATTTTGAAGTATTTTGAGGTTTTTATATTTTGAAGTACTTCGGAGTTTTGAGTGTTTCAAGTATTTAGAAGTTTTATAAATACTATGATACATTTTAAAGTATTCGAAATTTTCGGATTATGTATTTCGAAGTATTTCTAGTTCATTTCGATATATTTCTAAGCACTTTATCGTATTTAGAAGGTTTTTTAAAAAAAATTCAATACATTTAGAGATTTTCGAAGTTTTCAAGGTATGTATTTCGGGGTACTTGGAAGTTTTCGAGATACTTCGAAGTATTTCCGGAATTTTCAGTCTATTCCGAATAATTCATTTTTTATATACATATTTATAAGTACTTCAAAATGTTCGAAATACTTACTTGTTTTCGACATATTTTAACATAAATTTCCTTACAATAAGTATTGCGATACATTTTCAGGTATTTCGAAGTATTCCAGACATGTATTTCGAATTACTTTCACGTTTTCGAAGCGGTTCGAATGTTTTAGGGTTTCATTCGGTATATTTTGAAGTACTTTGAGATTTTCGAGATTTCGTCCTGTTTAACTCCGAAGTAATTCCAGGTATTTTGCATCTATTGAGAAGTCTTCGAGATGTTCGATGTTTTCACAGTATTCGACATATAAGCATTTAGAGGTTTTCTAACAATAAGTATTGCAAGACAATTTGAGTTATTTCGGAGTTTTTAAAGTAGCCGAAAGACTTCAAACAGTATTCCAGCTACTTAGAAGTATTTTCGACTTTTTCGAGATATTTTAGCTTTTTTAGTGTTTAGTGAATATTGCTAGATATTAAGAGCATTTCGAAGGAGTTCCAAGTTTTCGACGTACTTTGAAGTATTCTCAGATATTTCGATATATTTCAAAATAATTTAATCTTTTTTATTTATATATTTCTAAGTATCTCAAGGAGTTCCAAGTACTTTGAACTTTCGAAGTATTTCGACGTATGTATTTAAGGGTTTTCTAACAATAACGTGACATTTTGAGGTGATTCTAAAATTTCAAAGGATTCCAAAGCTCTCGAACTACTTCGAAATATTTCTAGGTTTCTTTCGATATGTTTCGAAGTACCTCGACTTTTTCGAGATATTTCGACATATTTAGAGTTTAGTGAGCAGGTATTGCGATACATTTTGAGGCGTTTCGGGGCTTCCAAGACATATATTTCGAAGAAGTTCGAAGTTTTCGATGTATTCTGAAAGCATTCCTGTTTTTTCGACAAATTTGGTAGTACTTTCAACTAATCACAAAAAAATCTAAAACCGGCACTGCCCTTGATACTATTTACTTTTTAATAAGCGTATAAGCTATTTATAGATTAAATTTTATTAAAAAAGCTCTCGCTTGTGCAAGAGATTAGCTATTGATCTTGCTCAGTCGAGACTGGCTATACGCAGCAGTTATTTTCATCGTTCGCTACCTGGATAATGCCATGGCAACTGCGTATGCCACACATTTCCATAATTTTCACGTGTCCTCCTCCGTGCATAGATGCTTCAGGCCAACGCAGATTGTATGTCACCCACGTATTTTTATTTTACTCATCATTTGTCACGTTAAATATCTGCCAGAGATTGTACTATACATAGTACAAGAAAAAATTTCCATGGTGTCCTCTGCAAACACCAGATCTAACGCTTGATCATAATTTAAGGCATTTAATTTGGCGTATCGTTTTTAATTATAACACAATTGGTGTAGAACATTTGGTGAAACAAAAAGGTTTTAAGATGTAGAATAATATAATAATAATAAAATATATTTTACATAGGGAATAAATAATGGGTTGTACTCTAAATATTCTTGGCTATCTTTGGGAGGGATCGGAAGTAAGTTCCATCAAATAATTCCAAAGGGTGTGCGAATATGTCCAGGAATTTCGCAGCAAAATGGAACAGTAGCCATAGAGATAAAGCTATCAGTAATATATTCTTCAGCAGATCCATGTAGTACAGTCTGAAAAGTTCAAAGAAAATTATATGCTTGCCAAAAAGCATACATTATATCAATGGAAACACATACAGTAGGTATCAGCCAAATGAAATAATAATAATAATAATAATAATAATAATACTAATAATGATAATAATAATAATAATAATAAATAAATGGGGGCGTGTTCGAAAAAACGCTCGGACACGTCGATTGGTATTTTTAGTTGCGCGTATTTTCAACAAAAACTTTTTGTACAGGGTCAATACCAATTTTCTTATTTTAAATGCAACACCCTGTATATTATTCAATTTTTGGAATCTTCGGAAAATTCTAGACATAATTAATGTACAATGTCCTATACCTATCTTCAACTGTTTCGGAAATATTAAGTGCTTTCAGATTTATTGCAAAAATTAACATTAAAAAAAGAAAATTATTTCTTTACAGAAATTCACTGCAACACAGTCAATGCTTATTCCCATTTAGCTCTTGATAATGAGAAAATAAGCGAAAACCATTCCAGTGTTCCTTTTTACTGATATGAAATAAAAAAAAACTATAAATAGTTTTGTTTACTTCTGTTTAAAAAGTCTGGCCTTAGTAACGTTTGTCTGCCTGCATGACAGTAGTTGTCAGTGTTATAGTCGTTTGAATTTCGTTAACTGCATATCAGAAAAATGATTCATGAGGATCGATGAAATGGCCAGTACGATCCCCTGATCTGACACCATTAGACTTCTTCTTATGGAGATGTGTCAAAAGTATTGTATACAATACCAAACCCCTCGACTTCGCTGACTTAAGAAGACGAATAACGCTTGCGATTAGATCGGTTACCCCTGAGATGTTGAGTAACGTTAGATGAAATCTATTTAAGATTAGGATGTTGCCAATATGTTCACGGTGAGCATTTTGAACAACTTTTTTTTTTGCTTTTTTACATTATCAATAAATAAACAGTATTACGAGTAGTATTAGCAAAGCAGCAAAGAAATTCTGAAAGGTAGAACTCTTGTACTGGCTATAAACAGGTTGTGCGACTAAATAATTGCTCTCTAAGGTCAGCGATCTTCATAAATCAAGTACGAGGAATTCGAAGCCTCGGATTGATCCTAGAACAGGCGATTTTCGTGTCACCAAAAAAATTTGAAAGAAACGCATCTGCGTCTGCTCCCTGAACGTTTCGAGAACTATACAGGATGTAATTTTGATTGGGGGTAATATTTATACGGAGGATACCTTTGACCTTTAAAAACGCGTACCATAAGTTTGTTTTCTCAAATTCCGTGTGAATAGTGAATTTTTTTTAACCTTCTTTTAGTAATTCAAAAGTTCTGTACTAGAGACATGAGTACATAGATGCTGTGTATTTTTTTATGCTGAATCTGAATCAGCAGTCCAAAAAACGTTTAAAAATTGCATTTTTGTAAAAACAATAGGCTATTTTTTTAATGTTCGGCGCTTTGTCCACAGTGATATAATAAATATGGTGACTTTAAAATAACACGTTGCGTTGCTAAACCATACAAAGGTAATATGTTTTACTACATTATTTTCCATTGCCTTTTTCTAACATTTGTTTTAAAAAGGCCACAACTCGCAACGCTGTTAGCGCACTGATACAACTTACCACGCTAATTCCGGGTCATCCGGTTTACGCCGACAGCATAGTACGTTACTGTGTTAAATTACATAGAATTACACAGAAACATTTGCGATTTTCCGCACAAAATAACAAAAATTTCAGCGTAGCCAAACACAATACCAACCTCTTAAGGGCCAGTCTAGCTTTTGGTAACGTATCCAGTTCCTCGTGTGCGCAGTACTTCCTAGCACCCAACACGTAGTTCAACATATATTCGTCGGGATTGAACTTCTCCCAGTCGACATAAAACAACCTTCTGTCCGCCTCGCCGAGCCCTTCGGACACCTCCTTCAGCTTGCTGTTGTGGAACACCCAGGGTCTCATCGTGTAGTACTGCAACACCTTCAAACCGTTCTGGATACGTTTTTGTGTACGTACCAAACTGAAAAAAACACAGTTTTCATCCACTTAACCGTCCAGATTCGCATCCTATTGATAAATACTTACAACGGCTTGTTCCTGGTCAGAGTAAGGACAAAATCTACGAAGTAGGCGGGTATCAAATGGAAAAGGAAGACGGCAATGATGTGGGCTAAGTAATTGGTCTTGGGGCTGCCCCCGGGGTACCACAGGCACATGCTGAAGGGGTACTGGAAGACGTGCTTGCGTCCCAGTTCGAGGGCTTCACCCCAGCTGAGGCAGTGGTCCTGGAAATGCGGTACAAAAAATGATATAAGGGCGTTTGTGTGCTAAACCAGTTCTTTAATCTAAAAATTAATAGTACAGTCATTGAAGCTTTTCACCTCCCAATTCTTTGAAACTGAACCGATCGACTTGAAATTTGGCGGATAGTTAGAGAAAAGGTCAATGAACATTAGTCACATAACGCCGATTGACGCTTCCACCCTGTTCCACCCCTTGTCGGGGGTGAAAATTTTTTTTCAAAAATAACGCTGGAAATCAATAGAGAATCAAATTTCGAGCAAAAAATATTCGAAGAATTTTTACGAGAAATCAATAGTTTTTTAGTTATTCACGTTTGAAAACTTGGAATTTTGAGTGAAAAAAAAAACTTTTTCAAGGTATTTTTCGCGAATAACTCAAAAACTACGCATTTTATTAAAAAAGTGTAATGAACAAAAATGTAGCTTATAAATAAACAAAGAAAATCGTTATTTAAAAACTGTTGTACGTACTATACAAAGCAAAATATGGTTAGTGGAAGGGGACTTTTTTTGGGGGGAATACTCGAATCGATGTATTCAACGTCAAATAACGGAAAAAGGATTAATTTTACGTGTATAACGCTCCTGGAGTTTTTTGTGGTACTCAAAAAAACCTTCAAAATGAGCACTTATAAAAGTTAATTACAGCAAAATTGAAGGAGTTATCGCCAAAAACAGATGAGTTGCTCATATTTTTTAAGGAAAAATGAGCAGTAAACGCTGTACCATTTCCATCAGAATTAAAAATAATCGTAGACCCTTTACAATTAGTTTTGTTTTAGTGTTTTTCATACGATCCTGAAGTTAGACCGGTTTAGAATGCGTATTTTTTAAATAATGTACGGTAAAAGTTGAAAATGTATTTTTTTTTGTTATTCAAAAAAAATTGCCTTATTTATATAGTAACTCTGAAACTATGAAAGATACGTAATGATAGACAACAAAATGTAGCTTTTTTCAACAAATATTTTGCTTTTCTTTTATTCCTGTAGCATAAAAGGAAATATCACCGCTTGAAGTTTCCATTTTGGTGAAAAAACGACCTGTCTCGAGCCCTTTGATCCTTTCCCTTTAAACAACGAAGGACATGAAAGGTTTTATATACAAACGGTCTTACAGCTGTTAAAATTATCTTTAAAATGCTTTTTTGTAGGATACTATAGCTTCAAAATTAACCGAGTTATGTTAAAAAAACCAATGACATTTTTTCGGAGCAAAATAGGCTTTCTCATTTTTATATATTATATATTATATTATACAAATAAAATAAGTAAAAAAATTTAGTGTGATTATTTATATGCAGCGTAGCAATTTTTTTTATGATTGATTATATTTAAAAATCGATTATAATAAAAATATTTTACATTAATATTGGTAAAAGGGTAGTTTATAAGAGTTGAAAATGGTAAAAGTAAAATATTCTTTCATAAACAATATAAAGGAATTTTTATTTTAAAGTATTGCACAATTATAGCATTCCAAGATTTAAAACGTAATTTTTTATAATTTTTTTAGCACAGGGGTGATTTATAAGGGTTGAAAAGTGTTACGAGATACAAATTATTTCATAAGCAATGAGGGAAATAATTGCACCGTTAAAGCATTCCAAGCTTTTAAAAAGTAATTTTTTATCATTTTTGTCAATACAGGGGTGGTTTTTAGGGGTTGAAAAGGAAAAATTCTTTTATTAGCCATAAGGTAACTTTTATTTTAAATAATTGAACGATTTAGTCATTTCAAATCTTTAAAAAGTAATTTTTTATAATTAATTTTTGCATAGGGGTAGTTTTTAAGGGTTAAATAAAGGGTCGAAAAGATCAAATATATCATAAAACATGTTCAAGAACATGGAACATTATTTAATCTTTGTGCTCGAACAAGATTTTTATCAATAAAATGCTTAAAACTTCATTTTTTCAAATTTTTTCACTTAGGGGTAGTTTTTACCCCTAAAAAATAAAAAACGTCAATCGGGCTTATGTCACTTTTGAAGTTGAGCCTAAGATGAGCCTTATTCTAAATTTTCATGCAAATCCATGCAGTTTCAAAGAATTCGGAGGTTACAGCTGATTTTCAGCTTCAATTACTGTACTATTACGAGATTTCTAATTCTGGCTATATAATTTTTAATCATACATTCGTACTACCGCGAGGAAAAATCAGTGCTTGCTGTCATTTGTAGCGATCGTAGTTCTTTGACATTTTGATGATTAAAATTTCAGTTGGACTAAATTAAAACAATTTAGGTGTTAGTGTAAGTTTGTTGGGAATATTATTGCTAGTGTTTTAACAAACGATAAACATTTTGGCCAAATTGACACAAAGATATAATAATAACAACTCGTGGGCACTATTTCAGTTGCGCCTTTTTGGGAAACAATTGTCACTACTAAATTTTTCCAAAAGTTCAACATCCTGTATATAAAATCATGAATTTTTTTATAAAGAAAGACATGTTCTCTTGAAGTAGAAACAAAAATTTTTTAAAAATTACAATTCCATTTTTAAAAACAACCTGTTCAAGTCGATAAAAAGTAATATATTTTAATAAAGAGGAAACTCACATACCTGACATTGATACCGAAATGTTGTTGCACTTATAAATAAATAATCTTCAATTTTTATTTCGAACAATAATAACATCACCTTGAACAAACATGAACACGAAATTTAGTAGCGATGACTTGGCTAAATTAATTCTGCATTTTCATAGTTGTTCTTTGAAGTGATCATCTTTTAAAAACGGAATTAAATGACTGATTAAAAACGTATTAAATTATAAACTCGTAAACAAAATTTTGTTTTCGACGACGTCAATAGCGTTGTCAAGTTATCTAATTTATCCGAATTATTTTTTTTTGCATATTTAACTTTAAGAGATTTAAATTAAAGTAAACCAGCAAGTTTGAAGTCAACTGGCAGTAGTGGCTTTACAGAAGCTGCTATATTGAATTTTAACTGAACAGCGGATCGCATTCTGCTTAAATTTTAACTGTTCACAGTTTAGTTTTGTTACTGTTTTGTTTACTTTAGATCAATTTGGTATATCTATCGACGATTAGCTGCTGAATAAGAAAAAAGAATAGAAACATACCGTATTTTGATTGATTAGAACTTTATAACTTCTCAATATTACCTCTTTTAACTTTTCTAAGTGCGTCCGTACTTTTCGTAGTAACAGTAAGATAGTTTAGCGAAATGGTCAATGTCAAAGATCACTAACACTGAGACTCAAAAATTAAAAACATACCTACACTATACAGGGTGTGTCCCACTAAGGTGAGCGGGGTACGATATTAGGAAAAGTACAAGCTCTAGTACTTTGGGAAAAAAAAATTTGATTAATAAATCGACCAAGAGAAATCACTGGAAATAGTTTTCAAGTTCGTAGTTCGGCCGCTAGGGGGCGCAATTTACATAATAAAACATGGACTTGAATTTTTCTCAGAAATGTTTCCTATTCAGGTATATTAAATAGTACAAATATGGATAGCCGGATTCGTTGCGCATAACTTTTATTGTTATTGACATTTTGTTCTATTTCTCGACAAAAAGGGTGGGGGAAGGCCCTAATGTCTGATCAGAAAAATGCATTTTTTTAAGGATTGGCTGATTCAGAAGCCCATAGTGTTATACCTCGTTGGAAAGGTCTTTTCATGCTTTATCTCGCGGTCAATGCTTACTGTCATTTACCTTCATATGAAAATCTACAGATGGCGTTATTTCAAGAGAATGCCGTTTTATGGATTTCTCTCTAAAATTTTAAATGCAGTTTTCTTTACATAAATGAATTCAGCACAAAAAAATTGATGAATATAAATAGTATAAGTTTGAAATTTCTAACGAGTGTTGTTTATTTATTGGTGCTATTTATTCAAGTTTCGGTTGTTTTACGTTTTCTTAAAAAAGTGAAATAGCTAGATAAAGCTTTTTATAGGTTAGTTTGAAGAGCATAAAAATAGCTACATTTTGACGCCAAAAAGGGTTCGATATCTTTTTTTGTTATCAAGTTATTCGCAAATATAGGTTACAATTTTTTCAACTTTTCTCGTTGAATCTGCAGGTTGTAAAATTCTACAGGGTGATATTTTTTCGGGGTTCTTCCCCTGAACTTTTGTGCGGTGCGCTGCTGATAGATTCTAAAATACATATTGAATTTTCTATTTTGTTGAGAAACTTTTTATCTGTTATCGCGAAAAAAAAAAACGATTTTGTGTAATTTGTTAATAAAATTAATATTCTTAAAATCGTCCAGTAGGCTCTGGCTTTATTTAGATAATCTCTTGCTTCAATTAATTATTGGCCACTGCCTCTTAAAAATTAAAGCTGGAATTGGCATGCCCAGTGATGTAAGCCATACAGCGTAACCTATATTTCAAATTTGAGCTAAATATCTCAAAAACTGTAAGAGCTCTAGAGAAAAAACTTTAAAAATCTTGAAATTTCAACACCCTGTAGATCGGTAACGAAGCATTTGCTCGCCCGTGTTTATTTGGGTTTATAGTCATGAAATGAGCCAAAGAATTACCCCCTCCCTTACGTATATGATATTTAGGAACACTCTATATGGTGTCATACTGTAGAGATCTTTTAATATCTCATGAGCCGCGAAATGCGCGAAAGGCGTTGCGTATCCCCATAATTCTTCTAATAAGGACGTTGTGAAAACATTGACTCAGAATTAGACCATGTGCCTCATTACAACTAGAAATGAACTAAGGCGCTCGGGCATCAATAAAGTCAACTGGCGAACGTTCGTTATATATATTTTTATTGTTTAAATTAAAATAATAAAGAATAGGGCATTTTATTATGATATTTGTAAACGGATCAAAGGCTTGTTTACGCTAGAGCTCGAGAAAGACTGTGAATAATAGGTGTAATGTTTTTAGGACGTAGAATAATTTAGGCGACGGTCGGAATTATGTTTCTGCACATACGAAGGTCAAAGCTCATAAGATTTTAAAACATCTCTACCTACCTTACTCGAGCTGATATTATACACGTCTATCTCCCTCCTTGGCTGAGACCCAACCTTCCAAGCGATTATCAACAAGGAATTAATTCCTATATCTACAGGAACTATATCAGCTTCTAACTCGGTATTACACAACATCGTCCTTATAACCCCCTTTCCTGCGCCTATAAGTATACCCGTAGGCCCATTGAGGTTGTCCACCCACCCGGGAATCGGTTCCTTGTAGCAAGCCGTCACTGAAACACAAATTCGGAAAAGTCCGTGAGGTCCAGATCCGCTCGGCGACGAGGCTATACCTACCTATGGACGGCCTGGCGATGGCTATCGGTAATCTGTCGGAATATTCCGATACCAGTTGCTCCGTTAGGCACTTCGTGTAAGCGTATGTGTTGGGGGAGTTCTTCAAGAGCTTGGGGGTGAGAGTTTCTAGTAGTTCGTCGTCCATCCACCTGGCGAGGTGTAAAATATTCCTGGAATTCGTGATAAGAAAGACTACAGAATCAGGTGTCGGAGTTGCCAATAACTCATATTAGAAAGAACAGAAAGTGGACCCGTTTTTATTCCAATAAATCTTGTTAAAACGTTAAAAACAAATGATTATACAGTGTGTTTCAAAATGATGGAACAAAATTAAAATTTTTTCCAGTTCAGATTTTAAAAAATAGCTGAAACAGGTCAATTATTAGTAAGTAGAAATTGTTACTTTCCTGCAATATTTTCTATTTTTTTGAGCCATGTTTGTCAGATCTATATTTAGTGAATAGATTTTGACTTCGCGAAAATTACGAGAAGAGAGAACTTTTTATTTTTCGCTTTGTAAAGTTGTCAGAAGCAACATAAAAAGTTACCAACTGTAGAGTGTACGCTAAATTATTTATTTAACAAATTAGTTGCAAAATTTTTGCAAAGTATATAAAAAATATAATAAAAAAAAATTACTGCGCCATTCGAAAGAACAGGAAATTTTACATAAAAAATGTTAATCAAGTTTTTTTCTAAAATGCGAATTGAAGGCTGTACAATTTTTTTTTCTAACGCACAAAAAATGAGAAGGGCTGCCCCTAATTGTAAGTACAGCTCTCGAAGAGCGCGCGGTCCCGAGCGCGCTACACTAAATTTGTTATAACTTTTGATCAAATCGGCCTCACAAAAATTTAAATAAAAGAAGAGTCATCCGGCTATCAGAATTTTATGTCTTTAAACTTGAGAAAAAAAAAATATATATAGTACCTACATATGTACAAAGTTACGTCATTCTATAATTTTGTACAATAATAATAAAATACCTGTCATTCTTTTAATTTTTAAAATAAATATCTGTCACTTTCACAGATTACTCTTCAAATGACGATTGAAACAGTGAGTGATATGGAAAAAATCTAAAAAATTTAACTTGGAAAATATTGAGCCCAACATGTTCAATAATTTAAAAAAATCACAAATTTGACTTTTTAGGCCATTTATAGATCAAAAACTATAGTTGTAAATGTGATATTGAAACTTTATGAGAGCACTTTTTAAAGCTTAAAATCTCTACTTTAAGATGGTGCATTTTATTTTTTTTAAATTGAAATAATAGTTGAAAAAACAGAAAATAACAAAAAATAAAAATATTTCATGAAAAATCCGTGAAATTTATTGTTAAATAGTTTAATAATGTACAAAAAAAATTATTTTGTTTAAAAAACCATCAAAGAATTAAGTTAAGACATTAAAAAAGTAAATCCAGCGAAAAAATATTTTTTTATTTATAATAATAAGTGGGAAATTGTTATAACAGCAAAAAAATAACGTTTTTTGATGAATTGATTTAATATTCATTTTTAAAAAGTATATTCTGTACTTATCTGAAATTGTGAATATAAGTTCGAAACCTGCTCGGTGAGTATAGCACGCACATGGTGTACCTACATAAGATCCACTTTTTATTTGTGGAAGGGCGAAATGGGTGGTGACTATTAGACGCCTTCATTATAGCCATCTTTCTCTATCGTACGGATTTCTACGACTTACTTTATCGCTCTCACGTAACGGCAGATGGACCATCGGTATTTTCCGACCCTGTATACTACTACATAGAAATATATACAATACCCTTGCTTGCGAAGGGGAATTTTGAAAGTCGTTTTCCTTGTCAGTTTGAGCGACGAAGCTAAGCAGTGAACATACCAAGTATATTTTTGTTACTTACAGTTTTATATATTTTAAAAGCGTTTGTCGTTTATAAGAATTAAATAATTATTATTATAAATGGTATAAGAATTTTTAAATTTCAACTGGGAAACAAAATATGAATTTTGTTCCACCTTTTTGGGACACAGTGTATATATTTTGTCATTAATCTTTCCAATGTTGCCGAGGAAATAATTTTCGACGGGAAACCCTGTACATTTTAGGTTGCCAATAAAGTAGTAATTATCATTTTGGCGATATAATTATCATTAAAGTTAATTAATCAATTATTATTCTTATTTTTTTTCCACAGGATGTCTATGAAAAAAAAACACAAAAAGTTGAATGGATGATTCTGCTTATTTTAATATACGTATTTAGCTAAAGATAAAGATTCACCAAAAATTATGTAAACTCTGTTGTAGATTAAACTAATTCAAATATATTCAAATGTTTATTTGAAACAAATCTTTTCAAATGAAATCAAACAAATGTTTTTTTAAATCAATAATCTAAGTGTGCAAAATATATTCAACCTTACAGATAAAGCTATAAACAGCCAATAAACTAGATAGTAAATAGCCAATCATAAATAAAAACTGAAAATTATATGTTTAAATATACAGTGTGTCTTCGGATGGGGTACCGCACGCGTGTAAACTCTTTTATTGTTGGTTTTTCGAGAAAATGTTATTCTTGATAAAAAGTTTTGTTTATCTTGGGAAGCCATGGGCAGTAATCAAGTAATAAAAGATACAAGGCATCAAAAAAATTTCAAAATGTGAAATTTTAACTAAGCAAAGTGCTTTAATTTAAGGAGGTATATCGGGTTTATTCAAATGCACATATGTACTTGAAATTTATATAGCGTATTACCCAGTGCTCCCTTTGTGCGTCATATTTTTTTCATTTTTTTTTTTAATCAAGATTTTGAGATGTTGTTGTTGAGAGTTGTTCATTTTAACATAGGTTTATATGGCGAAGAGGGACGGTGCGGCTCTTTTTTTGCCCATAACTGAGAAAAATGTAGAAATTCTGAAACAAAACTTTTCCATAGATAGTACACAGTATTATCTTATTTTTGATGTAAAACTAATGTAAGTTTTGAACATAGTACAGCTGTATTAATTAGAAACAGAAACCAATAATTGCATTTCTGTCTGACTTGAGGATTAATGTGGCAACGTCGCAATCAGCTGACAGCAAGGAGGGAATACATTTGAAAGACTTGATAAAAACGAAATTGTTTTCAAACATATACATTTTTCCTAAATCCCATGTACATTGTTATCAACAATAAATTATCCACAACAGAT